CCCTCCCCTGAGGGTCACAGGTCCCTCTAGTGCTGGCTGCTCTGCTTTTCCTTACGTTCCTGAGAGGTCAGCTGTCAGTTAGAAGGATGACTGCTTTTATGTGGAGTGATCCAGTCTGTGGAGGGAGGACTTTTAGGTCTCCTGGTCCCTCACATGACTGGAAGCAGGCGTCTCCCTCAGTTTACGGGAGAAGCTTTTATTAGCATACATACTCTTCTTCTTTAAGTTTTAAAATATTTAGCGTGAATTTGCCTATGCACCTTTGTTTTCAGGGTTATGTACATTTTCTTGTTTTAACAGTTGTTGCGCTGCCAGTTGGAGGAATCTGAAGAGGGCCTATTTTTAGCTAAATTCTATTGTAGGCCACAGGTCCATTTTCAGTAAACACACGCACAAACCCATAAACAGACGCATACATACATTTCTATTAACTATCTTTCTAAATTCACCTGTTGTCTTTTCTGACTGGGAGGTAAGCTATCAGGACTGCAGGATGGAGGCAAGCCCAGCGCCTCGGTTTTGGGTGGCCTGGGACTGCGGGTGATGGAAGCAGTGAGCCCACCCTACTTTCCCAGACACTTCATGGTTTGGGATGGAGAGACTCACATTTAAGGACCAGAGGTGAGAGGTCATGGCTCTGTTACAGCATTTGGCAAGAAGCACGTGGCTTGGTGGCTTTCTGAATGTTTGCAGGACAGGACGGGCAATCGTAATGCCGCAGTGATTCGTGTATGACCCCACGAGCTTATACTCACTTTATTTAGAGATGCTGTGAAACTATATGCTAATTGCAGGCTTATGGCGAATATTTTAAATTATAATATTTTCATGTCAAGCATTTTAACCTAATTGTAAATAAATGATTTCATAAAAGGTACCAAAAAAATCATTGGAATGAGGATGGAAATAGACATCGCGTTAGGACAGCAGCTGTGCTCCTCTGCCTGGCCTCCGTTCCCTGTGGTTACGTGAGGAAGGGCTCCTGTTTAAAGCGAACCAGTCATCCTGGTCATACTCACACCTAATCCCCAGGAAGTCACATTCCTCAGTACAGCCCACACTGGGTTTTGCTTTGGAAAGATCTCTCTTGATTGGGTATGATTTGTTCTAGATTATTGTAGAACTCTGTTTAGGACTTATAATATGCTTTAAAAAAATTTTTATTCATTTATTTTTTTTGCGGTACGCGGGCCTCTCACCGCTGTGGCCTCGCCCACTGCGGAGCACAGGCTCCGGACGCGCGGGCTCAGCGGCCATGGCTCATGGGCCCAGCCGCTCTGCGGCACGTGGGATCCTCCCGGACCGGGGCACGAACCCGTGTCCCCCGCATCGGCAGGCGGACTCTCAACCACTGCGCCACCAGGGAAGCCCTGTATTTTGAGTTTTTAGGAAAGATATGAGCCTCTGGTTAGGGCACAGTGCTGTTTATTGCCTGTGATATTGCCAACTTGTACTTTTCCATTGTTTTTCTTTAACACATGCTATTTCTGCTAGAGCAAGGAGGTTTGTCTTTTTTTTCCTTGGTAATCGTGACATGCACCTCTTGAGAAGACTAGTCATAGCAGTCTCTTGATGTGACGGATTTTAGAGATTGTGCTCTTGCAAGAAATACTGAAAAGAAATTGGTGATGATTAAACAGGTTGAAGCAAGAGATTTAATTAGTGCTAAGAGACAGAATTTACAGTAGATCATGTCCATCGTCAAGTTGAGAATGAATTCCCTCTGCCATGATTACAATAGGATTTTAGTTCAAATTTCCTTTCTTCCCATGTCTTTCCTGATAAAATTGGCTAATAGAACTTCTTTGCATGTAAAATACCTTAAGTACCAAAGTCTTCTAATTTAGTTTTTCTTTCTTTCTGGAAAGAACATTGAAGACTGCTTCCAGATATTTCGCATTAGCAAAGTAGATTTTCTAGCAACAGGATGCCTATCTAAAATGCCTGAATTGACTTTAAAAAATCAACTAAATTTCATTTTCCCCATGAAAGTATTTGTTTTGGAAAACGCATACGGTTGCACAGCATGTGGGTAAAAACTTCAGTGTTGAGCTCTCGTCCAGCGCCTCCTTTGCCTGGGGCTCATCCAGTCCACTGACTCGTGGCCATGCCCCTTTTCCAGAACAGGCCTGCTGGGTCGGGTGCTGTCTTTGGTGACTTTCACTGATAATAAAACACTAAAGTATATACATCATTTACTTTAAAATTTCAAGTAAATGGGGGAGAACAAAGAGTTAGACCTATAATACCATCATTCAGTTTCTTCCTTTCAAGAATGGAAGGGCAAAGGGGTGTTTAAACGTAACCCCACCTTTTAAGTATCTGAACCCCCCTTTTAAGTATCTTTTAAGTCACGCGTAAGCTCCCTTTGAGGCGCCATTAATAGCTGTGATGCTTGGAAGGTTCCTTAGTGCTTTCCTTGTCCCCAGAGTTTTGTTTGTCAGAACCTGAGCTTGTGGTTGTGCGTGAGAATATCACTTATTATGGGCTGCATCTCTCTCCCACCTCAAAACAAACGAAACACAAACAAATCGTTGCTTTGAAAATGCTGTCAGAGTTTAATTAAGCCAAGTCCAGCTAATTACCTTCAGCAGTGAGAGAAGTTTCACTCTGACACTTCCCATCTGGTGGCTTTCCCTAGACAGGCCCCGGAAAGACACCATGAGCCCGCCCGGGGATTCGCACCCGGCCGCACTGCTGAGGTCAGGAGAGAGCGAGGTGTGTGTCTCTCGCTGTTTGCTGTCCTTCCCTGCTTCCCTCCCAGCCATCTGTGGGAACCCAGCGACTGCAGCCGCTCTCAGCTTTGTGATCCACCCAAGTGATGACGGTCCTGCGTAACAGTTTGCAGGCCCCCTTCCTCAGGCAAGCCATGAGTAACAGCAAGGAGATGAGCTCAAGGCTTGACAGGGACAGAGGCGTAACCCTGGCCCAGTACATGGGACACAACTGGGTCACTATTAACAACAACAGCAATCAAACTTCAAGCAGATGCGCCGTTAAAGCCCTTACATAATTGTAGCAGGTTTGGGTTTCCTCTGGTTCAAGTGTTCTTGCCTCTTTGATAATCAAATGATCTGAAGAAAGGCATAGAATTTCAAGGGAGAATCTGCAGGACAGGCTCACAATGAGGCCATTCACGGGACTCTTTTATTAGCTTACACTGTATCTGCATCACGTTTAGCCCCTGGCGTTACTACAAGGCTCCATTTAAACTTAACCCAACTTGCAGACTTAACTGATCCAGGAATTACTCAATACAACCAGCCAGCTACTGTAGCTTTTCCCCTCTGATAAGGGGATTTAACACAATGGGCTTCACAGTTCTTAAATGACTCCGTTTTTTTCCCCCTGTCTTTGAGATGTGGTGCTTGTGTGACCTTTTGTTCTGAATAAAATTCCACATGGTTTGATTATATTTTTTAAAAGTACCAGCAGACACAGTATTGACTTCTTACCCTTAGAGGAAAACGTTTAAAATCTTGTAGATGGTCTAGAAATGGAATTCATGTCATAATATTTACACAGCTAATCTCACTATATTAGATATTAACTCTTAGATATTATTAAACTTGAAAATGTTTTATTTTTGAGGGGTGATTCTGATAAAATTACTGGTAGTACTTGTGCATTACACTTTGACTTTTGCACACTTCCGGTTATCTGCTGGTGTCTGTGCCGTTTCTACTACCACAGTGCTGATAGACTAACCTGGGCACACTCGGCCAGTATGTGGAGGGGAAGCGGCTGGGGAACCTGACCTCAGAGCGGGAGACCCTTGAGGATGGATTTGGTAGCAAACCACTGAGAGCACTGTCGGCCCCCGCTTTGGATCACACCTCAGAATAGTGGGTCTCAAACTTTAGAGAACGAAAGTCATCAGAAGGTTGGATAAAAATGCAGATGCCTCGGGCTTCCCTGGTGGCGCAGTGGTTGGGAGTCCGCCTGCTGATGCAGGGGACGCGGGTTCGCGGCCCGGTCCGGGAAGATCCCACGTGCTGTGGAGCGGCTGGACCCGCGAGCCGTGGCCGCTGAGCCTGCGCGTCCGGAGATGCCTCGATTCCACGCGCAGGGGTCTGAATCGGTAGGTCTGGGATGAGGGCCTGAGAATTTGCATCTTTAGCAAGCACCAGTTGATTCTGTTATCTGACCCCACTGAGAACCATTCCCCCCGATTCACCAGGGATTGGGAGCTCAGGGACCCTCCTGGGGAGGCGTGACCCTAGTGGGATTTCCCCAGGGGGTGGCAGGCGGGAAGGTTGCTCTGGAATGTCCAGCCAGTATCCTCTTCTGTTCCGCCTCCTTCCACAGCAGGGCGGCACCCGCCGTGAGCACCGCGTTCCCAGGGACCTGCGTCACCCGTGGGCCTGTGCTTGGGTGTCCGAGAATGTCTCCTCACCCCCAACCCCTTCTGTACGTCGTCAGAATTTCCGAGCAGTTGTTATCTGCGGTATTTAATCCGAATTTGCTTCTCTAGCCTCCCCCGTTACCGCCCTATTAAAGTAATTTTAGATTTTTAGAAACAAAGGTCTTTGTCAAAAGATTTCCAATTAGAAGCGGACTCTCAGGAAGCCTTTTGGGAGTTATGGATGTAACATGTTTGTTCATTTCATGAAGGTAAGATTCTTCCTTGAAGATAAGTTGATCTGGTGATCAGGACAAACAAGTGGTGATGACTGCTGCTGATATCCCAGCGCTTTGCCTGCAGTGCTGTCGTGTATTCTGTTTGTAGAACCCACCCCCAATGCGGTTGAAGGACTTTTTTATTAGGAGAATTTTCAGTCCGACACACAACTAGAAAATACAGTTCCCGTATCTGTGTCACCTGGTTTCCAGAGTTACCAAGATTCGTCATACGTTTCGGCAGCATGTTTTCCCCCTGTTCCTAAATTTTGCTGGTCGTTTCTTAATTGGTTCTTTTTGGAATGACTCAAACATGAAACGCTTTGCTTGGGGTCTAAGTGTGGTGATCCTGAGTAGTAACTGGAAGATGTCCTTTTCAGGAATGTGTTCCAGAAAACCTCGAGCTGAAGAAGCAGCTCTTTGCTCAGCTGGATGGAATCGTTGGTGACCAAGTTGTGCTGAGCAGCTCCAGCTCCTGCCTCCTGCCCACCAGGCTGTTCTCTGGCTTGGTACACGTGAAGCAGTGCCTCGTGGCGCATCCTGTGAGTATGTCGAGCCTGGAGATGCAGTGAGTCTCACCTGGCTTTCCGGGAGCAACGTGTTTGGATGAATCTGCTCGTGCTTTGTAACTGCTTTACTGAGATATAAGTCACATACCACACAATTCAACTTGTACATTTCAGTGGGTTTTAGTACATGTAGAGAGTTGTACAACATCAGTGTCTTACAAAGAATTTTATCCAAAAATCCCTTGAACTGTGTATCTTGTCCCTCACGCACTGTGGGAGAGAATGATCAATTCTTACAGACTTTCTCCTTAAGTAACTCACCGTCTAGCTGAGGGGAGAGACTGCTCATCAGATCATCCCAGTGCCAAGGAAAGGTGCCACGTTAATGAAAAGTCTAGACCACATGGGATTCTGCAGGTGGGTCACCTGTACTGTGTGGTTTCCTGAACTTAGCTCAGAGTAGGGTCACTTGTGCTGATGTGCAGGGTCCGGGTCCCCCCGCCCCGAGATTCCGGTGCAGCAGCTCTGACTTAAACCCTCCTTTTTGTGGTCCCTTCCACCAGACGTTGCCACTGACTGCGCCAACGCACTCACCGGGCGTGCGCTGCGAGGCGTGTTGGACCATGAGCTCCAAGTTGGCACGTGGGCACTCAATCTGTTTGCGATTAACGTGTTAATGTCAGGAAAGGGGAATCAGAGTGGGGATTCAGGGGTCATTCGGTGGACGTTTGAGTACCGAGTGGAGGTCAGTGTGACCTTGGAGACCTGGGACAGCCTGCTAGGACAGAGACGCCACTAACTTAGCTCAAGCCCACCCCGGGCCAAGAACGAGCATGGGCCTCGTAGAATTGCCAGGAGACCAGCTTGACTGCAAGAGCAGGAGAAAGGTGGACGGCTTGGTAATACTTGGGTCATGGAGAATCGAGAGAGTTACTCTGAAGAATGAGAACTGGCAGCTCCTGCACGGAACTTGGGGCAGAATTCCCAGCACGAGTGGCCAGGGCCTAGGGAGGTGAGGGGTCCTCGAGTGGGGAGCAGGGAAATGCCTCTCTCTGAGCAAGAGGAGATTAGAGGAGGAGATGAAGACCCAGGGCAGTCATAGATGCCTGCTGCGTCTTCCGTGCTGCTCAGAGGGACAGCCTGGACCACCGTTTACGTGACTGAGTGGTCTGGATGTCCTCACACTGAAGTTTAATGGAAGGTGTAAGAGAATGGTTATAAGATAAGGAGACTTAGACCCAGAGCACAGAGAAGAAAACCAAGCATTTAGTTACCACTCCATACAGGTGAAAACAGCACCAGAGAGACCTTAACTGAAGCATCCAAAGACCAAGTCCCATGAAGCATGTCATGTCTTGCTTCCGTGACATATGTGTGTCCATAAAAAGCCTCTTAGACACCGTGATTGTTACTTGGTTGCTTCAATAAAAGGTGCAGGCCTCTTAGTCAGGAGCTTCCGTTTCTAACCAGTGTTTTTACTTCTAAGTCAGTTTAAAAAACAACTGAATCAAATTGTTCAGAAAACATCCCCTAAGTCCTCTGACAGGAGTTTTACTCCATCTCTCTCTTTTTTTAAAAAACTTTATTTTATTTATTTATTTTTGGCTGCGTTGGGTCTTCGTTGCTGCACGCGGGCTTTCTCTAGTTGCGGCGAGTGGGGGCCGCTCTTCGTTGCGGTGCGAGGGCTTCTCATTGTGGTGGCTTCTCTTGTTGCGGAGCACGGGCTCTAGGCGCGTGGACTTCAGTAGTTGTGGCACATGGGCTCAGTCGTTGTGGCTCGTGGGCTCTAGGCATGTGGGCTCAGTAGTTGTCGCGCACGGGCTTAGTTGCTCCGCGGCATGTGGGACCTTCCCAGACCAGGGCTCGAACCCGTGTCCCCTGCACTGGCAGACGGATTCTTAACTACTGCGCCACCAGGGAAGTCCCCACATCCCTGCTTTATAGTAAAGAGAAGTTCACCGAGGAGAGACATGCTTCCAGTTCTTATCATTCTGATCTTAAAAAGGCTAGAGGTTAAACCTTTTTTCAAGAATTCAGTGATAATAGGCAGGAGACAAGTGATTCAACTAAGGCATTGCTTTGTAATTTATTTGAACTAGATGCTATCCTCACTTGCTTTCTAGGAAGGCTGCGACAGGGTGACCAAGACAGGCTGGGAGCAGAAGAAACCTCTGGAGTGTGTGGACCAGCTGCCTCTCCAGCCAGTCCTAGGAGGAATAATTTCTTCTCTCTTCTGTAGAAGAAGTCCTTGTAAAGTGGTTGCTTCATGTAGTTACTTGGTAGATGTGAGATTCTACCAGTTTTCACCCCAACATGGAGGGAAGACAATTTACAGTCAAGCCTCATTCGGGGAACAGTTTTGTGTGCATCTGCTTAGTGGTGAGGCTGATCAGCAGCCTTTAATCAAACAGCCTTTTCCTTTTTCTGTTTTTGTTTTTTGGCCGTGCCCGGCGGCATGGATCTTAGTTCCCCGACCAGGGATCGAACCCGTGCCCCGTGCAGTGGGAGCGCGCAGCCTTAACCACTGGACCGCCAGGGAAGTCCCTCAAACAGCCTTTTCTTTAGATGTAGGAGAATTTTCCTTGAGAATCTTCAAGAGTGGTTTCTCAACGGAAACCAAGAACATCAGAGCTGGGTGGGCAAGCATTTCCGCTGCGGACAGACTCTTCCTGTCTTAGCATCCATCACGATGTTGAGGCTGAAGAGAGCTTCTGATGTTGTGTGACTTCTGGGTAAGGTATGATTGCGGAAGCAGATGTTTGAGGCTCGACATGGAGAAGTTAAGGAAATGCCAACGTTAGGGAAGATACTGCCAATCCAATCATTTTTTTTTAAATTAATTAATTTATTTATTTTTGGCTGTGTTGGGTCTTCGTTTCTGTGTGAGGGCTTTCTCTAGTTGTGGCGAGCAGGGGCCACTCTTCATCGCGGTGTGCGGGCCTCTCACTGTTGTGGCCTCTCCCGTTGCGGAGCACAGGCTCCGGACGCGCAGGCTCAGTAGTTGTGGCTCACGGGCCTAGTTGCTCCGCGGCATGTGGGATCTTCCCAGACCAGGGCTCGAACCCATGTCCCCTGCATTGGCAGGCAGATTCTCAACCACTGCGCCACCAGGGAAGCCCTCCACTAATTTTTAACACTGACACAGTAGACCGGCAATGACTGTTGTGGAAAGAGGATGGCTGGGGGCAGGGTAGGTGGAAGCTTACGAGGTCAAGACGGCTGGGAGCAGAGAAACCCCGAGGGAGGTCAGGGGTTTGGAGGTAAGCAGTAAATGTACGGGACGGCAGTTTGCACGCTCCGATGTGAACCTCAGTGTTGGCTATGATTCATGCAGTTCTGTGCTCACGTTCTTTCGTTTCCTCCCTGCTCTGTGCATTACTTCATTTCTCGAGTTTCTTGTCACTGATGCTGAATCTCGAGGGGCCCCGTCTGCCCTGCTGCTGACCCTTCGGAACAGTGAGCCAGCTCTGCCGGAATGACGCCCAGACGCCAGTGCCGTCTTCCTGACTCTCTCTGCTCTGTCTCTCTCCTAAGGTAAATCCACCCTACTACGTCCCGTTGGTGGAGCTGGTCCCACACCCAGAGACGGCCCCTGCGACGGTGGACAGAACCTACGCCCTGATGCGGAAGATCGGACAGTCCCCGGTCAGACTCATGAAGGAGGTGGACGGCTTCGCTCTGAATCGTCTCCAGTATGCCATCATCAGCGAGGCCTGGAGGCTCGTGGAGGTGTGTGCGCCGCCCTCTGTCCTGGCAGCTGAGCAGAGGAGGCAGGAGCCTCTGGGCACGCCATGCGGGTGGGAGAATCAGACACTTGCTCTGTTCCAGAGACCAAGGGCAAGCTCTTCCTCTCTGTGTCTCAGAGGTTCCCCTGTGCGGTAGGTCACTTGACATTCGGATGTGATGATGGGCTCCTCTTCCTGCCCTTTCCTGTCGTTACCACGTAATTATCTCTGTGACGTGCTGCATTTTCCCACTATCTCAGATTCTGCTCCCCCCACTCCCAGTATTATAATTTTTCAGGAGGAAAAATAAATTATATTTTGAGTAAACTTGTATCCTCTAAAGGAACCCAGTTTATTTCAAGAGCTTGAGGAAGAAACAGTGGATGACTTTTTTTTTTTTAATTTATTTATTTTTGGCTGTGTTGGGTCTTCGTTTCTATGCGAGGGCTTTCTCTAGTTGCAGCGAGCGGGGGCCGCTTTTCATCGCGGTGCGCGGGTCTCTCACTGTCGCGGCCTCTCTTGTCGCGGAGCACAAGCTCCAGATGCACAGGCTCAGCGGCCATGGCTCACGGGCCTAGTTGCTCCGCGGCACGTGGGATCTTCCCAGACCAGGGCTCGAACCCGTGTCCCCTGCATTAGCAGGCAGATTCTCAACCACTGCGCCACCAGGGAAGCCCTGGATGACTTTTAAACTTGTTAGTAGCATGGTTGTCTCACATATAGACAAGAGATTATTTATATATGTATAAATTTACACACATCTCTATTGACATACGTGTAAATTTATGTACATATATGTTTAACATCATCCTTGAATTAAAAGATTTTAGACGTGACTTTAAAAATTGCCTGGCCACATGCGCTCCCACCTGCATTTGTGTGAGGGGCCTGGTCCCTGGCAGAGAGACGTCAGGGCAGCTCCACACCTGGGAGTGGCCCAGGCTCTGCCGGTCTGTGCTCCATCCCTCACTTTCTGATGCTTCCCCAGCTTCTGAACTGGTCAGTAGCGTGCTCTGCCCACACCTGTCCTGCTGAAACTCGGCAGAGTGAGCAAGGGTCTGTCCAGGTACGTGCGGCGAGAAGGGGGCTCGGCCTCAATCATCTTCGCCTGGAATGGATTCACAGCCTCTAGTCTCGACTCCCGCGGATGCCTGGCGGTCCCAGCCTGAGACAGAACAGGGAAGCTGGCCTGGGGGCACCGGCTTTCAGCTTCCCAGTGCAGGATGCACGTGACCCTCCCACAGAACCCTGGCTGTGGCATTTGGTCACATCCCTGTTGGGTTCATCATCTGAGCTGACTGCTCACACTAGCTGCAGTTCTGTGTCCTCACTGTTTGAATCCAGTTAATGCTCCTACATCTCCAAGATGCAGTGTTGGGATTCCCACTGTGAAGTTTTCAGCTTCAATTTCTCGGTGACTGTAAAATGTTTTGGAATGTCAATCAGCAGTAGAAGCACTGAAGTAAAAACAGCCCCTTGGAGATCTGTTTAAAATATTTCCACCAGGACTTCCCTGGCAGTGCAGTGGTAAAGAATCCGCCTTCCAATGCAGGGGATGCGGGTTCGATCCCTGGTCAGGGAACTAAGATCCCACAGGCCACGGGGCAACTAAGCCCGGGTGCCACAGCTACTGAGCTCGCGCGCCTCAACGAGAGAGCCCACGTGACACAAACTACAGAGCCCACTGCGCTCTGGAGTCCGCGCGCCACAACTAGGGAGAAGCCCACGCGCCACAACAGCAACAGAAGATCCCACATGATGCAGCTGAGACCCGACGTGGCCAAAAAAATAAAGAAAAGAAAATAAAAATATTTCCACTTGTCTAGAGTACGGGAACTTAATATACCGCAAGAAAAATTCACTATTACAGTGAAACGTTGCGGAGATTTTAGGGCAACTTTTATTTGTAAGATATCTTAGTGCCTGGAAGAGATGGAGAAAAGCCCTGCAGTTGAATTTTGCTTTCTGTCATCTAAACGAGGAACACCAACTCGAGGAAAACTTAAGAGTTGGGAAGCTTTCCTTCCTCTTCTGTTTTCTGGAAGCGATTGTAAAAGTTCTGTTAATTCTTCCTTAAATGTTTGGTCGAATTCTCCAATGAAACCACCTGGCCTGGAGAATTCTTTTTTGGTCTTTAATTACAAATTCAACAGCTTTAGTGGTTGTAGAACCATTCAGGCTGTCTGTTTCATCTTGGATGAGTTTTGGCGGTTTATGGTTTTGGAGAAATCGGCCCTTTTCTTCTGTCGCTGAACTTACGAGCGTGAAGTTGTCGGTGGTGCCTGTCATGACATCCCTGGGTTCATTCCTGTTGTGGGTGATTCACGTCTGCTCTCTTTATCTTTGTCATGCTAGAGATTTATCAGTTTTGGTGCTTTCCTGAAGAGAAGGCTTTTTGTTTCATTGATTCCCTCCCCCTGCCCCCCCACTGTGGTTTTCCTGTTTTCAGTCTCACTAACTCTGGAGGGAGGGTATCCCTTCATCCTTGCAACCAAGCAGGAGAGAGAAATTCTAGGAAAGACAGGGTGGGAGCGGTGTGTGTGCGTGCGTGTGCGCGTGCATGTGCGTGCGCACGCGTGTGCGTGTGTGTGCGTGCGTGTGTGTGTGTGGCTCCTGCACGGGCCTGTCCTTCGTGGGGAACCAGGGGAGACGAGCCAAGGTCGGGAAGAGGCTGCGCAGAGCACACTGTCCCGTCCCAGCCCGTGAGCTCCGCAGGGCGTCCATTGTGGGAGCAGGACGGGTGCCCCGGCTGCAAGGGCACGTGGGCGCTCACAGCCGTGCAGTCCGTTTTTTCCTGGACCGTTTGGCTGCAGAATTGGGACGGAGCAGCCCCTGTTGGCTGGGAAATGCCAATGGCTATAGTCTAGTCATCCGAGATTAGGTCACTGGGTGACAGGATCCTGTTGGCCAGAAAAGTGATTTTCAGTCGATCTTTAGCTGACGAGCACAATAAGGGAAGTAGTGTTGTAACGACAGACTCTCGCCCAGACAATAGCTGAGCTTGTAGTGCCCGTAAATTCTTGCCCTGTTGAGGGAGGGTCTGTGGAGGCGAGCGGGAGTGAATCACGGGGCCGCCCTTGGGTTCTCAGCCCATCGGAATGTGCGGGTGGTAATGAGCTTTAAATTGCTTACCTCCGGTTTTGTTCATCCTTCTGAGAAAGGTAACATCCAGGTGATTTCTGCTCCTTGGGCCTCTGGAGTCTTGCTCGGGGCTGTGGTCTGTGCGGGACCCTTTGAGAGATTCCAGGCTTCCGTGGTCCAGCTTTATTCCTGGCCCGAGCACAGCTGTTATGAGGACTGGTTTCAGCTAATAAAGTGCATCTCCAGGATCGTGTGGTAAAGTTCACAGATGAGACATTTTGTGGTAAAGCCACTCAAGGGTTTCTGTTGGATGTAATTTAGGAGAGCACAGCGGTCCCTCCAGCATATTTGAAGTCGTGTCTAGATTACTTCCAATACCTACTACAACCTCAGTCACGTGTAAACAGTTGTTCATACAATGTCAGTGCATTTAGATAGTCGTAAATAGGATGTAAAAACTGTGTAAACAGTTGCCTTTCTAGCAAATTCAAATTTTGCCTTTTGGACCTTTCTGGATTCTTTTTCCTGAATATTTTTGATCCACGATCAGTTGAATTCGAGGATGTGGAACCCGTGGATACAGAGGACTGACTGTAAAACACAGGAATGAGGAGTCTTAGCACAGCAAACCACTGAGAATCATCTCCTCATCAGTGACTTCCGTTTGTATATAGTATTTCAGAGCTTACAAAGTACTTTACATTTCTCATGATTTTCAGAGTTTTTCAGATCATCCAGTCCTAAAACCTTGAGAGACATATTGTTATTTCTGCCTTTACAAATTAAGTGGTTTGATCCATGCTCCCCGGTCTGGTAGGGATTCAGACCTGTGCCGCCTGTGTACCACGGTGTCTGCATTTGTAAGTGAAGATGACAACGGACTGTTCCCCGTCAAGATCTGATGAGGGTTGGACGGGTTATGTCTGTAAAGGGCTTAGAACGTGGCTGGCGTGTACTAATGGTTGAGTAGGTGTTATGGTTACAGTGATGATGGTGGCAACCATGTTTTCTGAATCCCAGAGTCCAGGGATGTAACAGCAGTCACCTGTGAGTTAGCTCCGAGCCGAAATGCTCACATGCCAGGAGCACGAGTGAGGTCCTGGGGCTCAGGGTGGCAGCGCGGGCGTCACCTGGGCGCTTGCTGGCGAGTCAGTGTCTCAGGCCCCACCCCAGCCCTGCGCAACTGGACTCTGCATTTTACCAACCCCCCCTCCCCTCCCAGGGGATTCCCGTGCATCGTAAAGGGGGAGGAGTCCTGGCTCACGCCCTGAGACCTTGGCCTCAGCCTTGACGTATGGAATTCCATCTGTTCTAAGATAAAATTGATTTATTTTTTTTACATTTTAACATCTTCGTTTTATTGGCAGCATTTTTCTTCCATAATGGAGCGTTAAATGCTAATTTAACTTTCAATCAATGGAGTCTTAACTTCAATGAGATACAGTATATTCTGCCGTCTTTCTCAGTTGCCTTTTCCCCTTCCATGTTTTCTGTCTTTGCGTGTCTCTTGTTTCTGACCCTCTTTATCTCTGACTCAGGGCTCACAATAGATAAACATGCAGCTCTAACCATCTTTGCTTAGTGGAAAGACTCTTACATGGTTCCGATTCCTAGTCCTAGATTTATGACACTGAATACCTCTGGTTATCCCAAAAAAGATGTGAAAATTGATTTTAAGACAAGATTTAATTCACTTGTGATTAAAACACAAACACAGCAGAACAAACGAATGCTAGGTTTTCACTGCTCCTCCAAATCAAAGCTCCCGTCCCCCTCAGTCCCCCAGATGCTGTCTTCCCCGTCACGCCGGCCGCACGTTTGGCATCAGCGATCCTCACGTGGCCTTTGGTTTCCGGAGCAGGGATGCAAACCGTAGTCTGGTTTTCCTCATTTGTCGCAGGCCTGTGTGAACAGAGTGTCCCT